TGTATAGCTGTTCAACATTTCCGGCTATATCATACAACTTATCAACAAATTTCTCCGCGGCATTTTCTCCACGATATACTTGTGGGTGCGAAGTAAGTCCATATTTTCTAAGATGGTCTTCTGTTAGAGTTGATTTGAGGACTAGACAATAACTGTTAGGTTTATGAACTTGATATTTAGTTCTTTTTGTCTGATCACAACCATCAGTGTCTAAAGGTATTAGCGAGGACTCAAAATCGGCATAAATAACAATAGGTATGCGATATTGATGAATTGTCTTGTTGAATGTTACGGTACTTCTATTTGCGGATGGTAGTTTCACTTGTAACACATCTTTTCCATTGCAAAGACGTTGATGTTCAAGTAACCAACGTGTTGACCCACTCTTATAGTTTTTACTGACATAACAGAAACATCTTTTACATACAATAATTCTTTCATGTCTCTTAGAAAGCTGTTTCCACACGAGAGCATTGAAATCTTTTATGTACACATAATGTGAAATACAACCATCTTTGATTAATAAAAGATCCGTATGATCTAGACGCTCTTTAGCAGTGATTCGCAAAGGATATACATTGTTTGATTGATCTAGAGCAAATACATTAACAGATACAGTGGGATTTTGTTTTTCAAATGTTTTTATGTCATTTAAAGCAACTGGGTAAGTTATACCTCTAAAATTGTATTTATGACATACATCGTCGTATCTACAGTTAGGTCTCTCTACATTGCCTCCTGTTACGAATTTAGCTAACATCGCATACTTGAAACATTCATTGTCATCATTTTTTACATTAATGCAAGCTTTAGTGCGATAAATCTTTTGAGGTAGAGGAATATAACTGCTGCCTCTGTCTCCGTAACCATGTTTGTGAACCCTTATATCTAACCCAATAATATTTAGTAAAGACCAACCAGATCCCCGGCCTTCATGTTCAGCAATCTTTACCAGAATATCTTCCAGACAGTCTTCTACAATAGAGCTAACATCGCTTGTTACCATGATTGTTTGGTTTTTTGTAAGAAAACCTCTCGGGGATAGTTCATTTTGGACATTGGTAAACAAAGTGTCAATTAATATACCAAATTTAACAAAGTTAAGTCTTTTTAACTCTTGATTTAATGTTTCAATAATAAGTGCTTTAGTTTTACTAATAAATTGTTGGAGTTCATAATTTGTGTTCATGATTTTGAAGTGCTTGACAATTGAATTTGGTAAAGCTTGAGCCATTAGTTCAACGGTCAAAGTCCTAGGTGGAGCATAATGAATAACGCTTGGTCGATCCTGCAGTGTTTGTTCTACTTCTTGAGGTAAAGTTTCTTGTTCTTGAGGAAAAAACTCTTCTATTTCAGGTAAAATAATTTCTTCTTCTTCTTCTGAGTTGTTAGGGTTGATTTCATATGTTTGAGGTTTGTGAAAAATCTCTTGATGAATATCAAAGAGTATTTCATCACGAAAGTTTTCTTGACAAATGTTGCAAGTAAACATGATATTTAGATCATTATTGGTCAACATCTAAGACAGGAATAATTGTAAGATTTTATGAGAGGATGTATTTATAGGGGTTACCCCCACTACCTAACAAATTCAGGTATAAGGATATGTTGGACATGTGGTTTACCATTTTATTACAATGTCTCCAACAGATCACAGCTATCTTAGAGAGTCCATTGAAAACATGAACTGGGAAGAAAATCCTGAGCTGTTAGAAGATGATATAGAAGATGATAATTTTGATGACGAGAGTGATTTTTTGGAAGAAGAAACCGAACCACAGCATCATGAAATTGAAACACCGAAGAGTAGATGGAGTGCTGACGATATTGAAATGGATCGAACGTCAGTTTGTAAAACACTAAATTTTAAAAGCCATGTTTGCCGACGTCTATCTTTTGAATCAGACAACGACGACGAGAACATATAATTGTTTATTTTATATTTAAAAAAAAGGGTGTTTATTGACCTTGACCTACTGTAGTGTGTAACTATAATGAAAAGCAGTCCGTACGACATTATGATGGTGATATTCACTCAAAAAATTTACAAGATGAGAGCTATTTCTTTTTTCTAAATAAACCGAACCATAATACCGTGTATTAAAAACACGGAAAAAGTAGATCGAGTCATGACAATATTGAAATGCAATATTAAATTTTAAAGGTCGTCGAAAGTGGTATTTTCCGTCGCGCGATTAAGTTTTTGTGTGAGGCGAAGCCGAACACAGGGGACATCTATTTCAAGTATTTTCAAGTACGAGACGACGCCGAGGACGGGAATAACAAATTAAGTGCCGGATAATAACTTTCGGTACGAGTTCTGAACGATACTTTTCATCACGACGGAAAAAATACACGAACACAGAAGAGCAGACCTCAGTAATATTATAACTATTTTATTTCTCAATTAATTTTCATAATGGAAACCTATATACATTTTGTTTAAATATCGAAATAAAAGAATAAAACAACTTTGAACAATACATAGATCTGATTCAAATCATTAAATTAAACCATAACAAAACACTAGCACGTGCAGTGAATAAATATAGAACTAATAGAGAGCAAGGGATTTTAGAGCTTGGGAAATGACTACTTTCATTGATGTCTGCTGTTATCGAAAGTAGGTATTTTCGTTACAGAGTGATTAAAATATAATTTACGCCACATTAAACTGTTATGACTAACTTTCCAAGCAAGGTTTTAGTCTAGAAAACATCTGTTTACCGTCATTTTTTATCAAATAGGATTTCATAAGTCTTACTATAATTTGCAATGAATGGTTAAGTTAAAAACTAAAACATAACCACTCTTGCAGTTTATTACTAGCAACTGTTACTCCTTTAGTTGGTAAGGATTTATACGGATTTATTAGTATGACGTAAAATATCTTACGCCAATCGTTTAGAATAAGTTTACTGAACTCATACTTCATACTTACTTACTTATTTAAGTAAGTAAGTAAGCTGTTTACTCGTCCGGTAAACACCTATTTCGCACCATTAAGTTCCAAATTAAATTGTTAATACTGGTAAAAGAAAATCTATATTTTGAACCTCCGATGAGTATATCCAGGTTCTATTTAATATAAATGTTTTAGTTATATAGGTCAAGGTTAAACCAAAAATATCGATGGAAGGAGAATACCTTGAAACAGATTGTTCCAAGATATTCTCCTTCCCTGCTTTTTTTTAAGAATTGAAAGAAATGTAATATAGAATGAATTATTGTCTTGTGCATTTTTTTTTTATTACGTTTTTCCATTTTTTTTGTTTGTTTTATTGTCTCATCTAACCTATGCAACTCTAATGTTCACAATCGAACTGATTCCGTAACGGAGTAATTTTCTTAAGTCATTCAACACCTCTTCTTTTAGTAGCATATTTTCTTCTATGTTCGACGGTGGGAAACAAGGCTTTTCTGAGGCTTTTATAGTGATTTTTATGTTATGGTTACTGTACGGTATCGATCCAATCACCTTTGATACAATTTTTAAATCAGTTTTGGTTTTCACTTGAATCCTATAGAGCGTTCTTGGTCGATGCTTTTGAGACACTTCTTGGCTGGGAGACATGTAGTATACAATTTCATAGACCATCTTGAATCTGCAGTATGAAAGGTAATGCGCGATATACGACACATGTTCGTTTATATAGTATGCATGTAGGGAAGGGGAAGGGATAAATTATACCCCCACTTATCGGAACTAAATTAATACGTTTTCAAATTTATTCCTGATACTCTTTGAGTCTTGTTATATAGGTAGCTATAAATTTATACGAAATTATAGTTCAACACAGACTGAATAGCGTAAATTAAACATAGACAGCTGTTAAATATAGCCATGTATTCTACAATGGAATCTTCCAAGTAGGAAGCTATTGGCTTGTTCTAGAAGTGATTAATAACACCACGCCTTCATGTCAAATTCCGTTGACCAATCCCATCGCCTCGAACGGAGAGTGCTCCACGTTCCTTGTTGGTGCTGCTATGCGTCCTTTGCGGTAAAACTCTGAACCATAATCTCTAGTTAGGTTGCAAGTGCTGCAAGTTGTTTTTGGCGGTAAAACTCTGAACCAAAACTCAAATCCACATAAATAAAATACAGTTTCAGACTTGCAAAGCTACGTGGCGATAAAAGTAACCTATCAGTTGTTTATAAATATTTTAATGTAAATTTAATTCAATATAACTACCTGCGCGGGTGCCGTCCACGTCGTGTGATAGGCCTATCTAAATATTCGTTTCGTGTTATTTATTGTGTGCGTGTGACAATGTGTTTGTACCAAGACGATGCCGTATTAACGTTGAAACATGTAGGTTTTAACCTAACATCAACACATTTGGATTACTGGACGAGGTAATTATACCACAATATTAGAGTTAATTATTTTAAGTTTGTTCAGTAACTCAAATGCTAAACTAGTGAAATTGGGTCAAGGACGTCACACATAATTCCCAAGAAGGGACGAAGTTTATCTACAATGACTCTTATTGTTGATAAACTTCGTCCCTTCCTGTATTCAATGACGTGATCTTGTTAAGCTTTTTTTTTTATGTTGGTTTAATATATAAAGTTACTTTAGCTTCGTAACTGTCTTCCACAAGTCTCACAATTGCTCGTAACATTCTTCTCAGTTTAATTTCTGAAATATGTTGCGTACGAGTATTTTCTTCAGTCTTCCAATAGCAAACATCACAATCGACTTTGAGTTTAAGATATTTGCTAAGTGTCTGTCTTAACTCGTAAACCTCTTCAAAGCTTCTTAAAGTTTTTGATAACACCAGTGTTGCTACAGACATAATTCGATCTCGAATGAATACTTAAAGCCACTGTGTGTGTGTATATATACACTATTCCCCCACCCCTTTCCACATACTTTACTTTCGTAATTTTCTAAAGTTTAAAGACTACAGGGATTAATTTAGACACAAGTATTTGCTTTTGCTATGTGATTTTATTTACTAAAGTTAATTTATATGTACATCTTTAATCTTTATTAGTTCTGTGTAGGGACAAAGGTCGTTATCCGCTGCCGTTTGTTTTTCGTACTATGTCGTATGTAATACCCTGTCGTCCGTGGTAGTTCCATGTAGTAAGGGATTTTTATTTTAAAGATTTGTCCTCTGTTGCGAACAATAACTCTGTGGTGTGATGGTGATGCCTTAATGTAGAAGTACTTCTCGTCCAAGTGTAGTTTGTCAATTTTAAGAAGTCTGATTTTGGTATTTGTTGTCTCTGTAGGAGTTAGTGATGTACTGGGATTAGAAAGTGAAGTGTGAGGAAGTGTAGTGATTGGTTTAGTTGTTGTCGCTGAAGTAGTAGGAGGAAGTGGAGTGATTGGTCTAGATACGGTCAATGACTTAGTTAACGGTTTTGCGTTCGTAGTGTTAGTTGCGTTCGTAGTGTTTGTAGTGTTACCCGTCGCTAAAGTACTAGTAAGTGACTTTGTTGACATGGTTGTGGGGTTTTTGTTAGTACTGTGGGCATGCAAGCAACACAGTGTAGAGTTAATCTTAGTCATTTTGGTACACCTCGTATTTTTCTTTGGTCCACGTAAGAAAGTATATGTACACTGTGTTCTGTTACGTTTCAGTTTACGTAGCTCTCGTCTGTTTATGTAAGGTTTTTCGTGGTCAATCAGGATTGGACTGGAGGATCTTGACGAATTTAGTGAGGGTGGGTCGTAGGAATTTTTGATAGGACTTTCAGTAGGAGAATTTTGGAGAGGACTTATTAGTGATGGGGTAGTGATCATGTCAGTGAGTATCGTATCTAAGTAAGTCATGGCAGTCGGATAAGACTTACAGTTATTTGAAGTGGATGGGTTCCGAAGTGAAGAAGGCAGGGTCGTCTGTTCTGTCGTCTTCGTCGTCTGTTCTGTCGCCTTGATCGTCTGTCCTGTCGCCTTGATCGTCTGTTCTGTCGCCTTGGTCATCTGTTCCGCCGCCTTGGTCGTCTGTTCCGTCGCCTTGGTGGTCTGTTCCGTCGCCTTGGTCGTCTGTTCCGTCGTCTTGGTGGTCTGTTCTGTCGTCTGAGTTGGTAGGGTAGAGTTGGTCTCGAATGTCTGCGTAGTCACCACTATGGAAGCTGGTTCTGCTGTCATGTTAATGATGGAATTGACAGCTTCCTCAACTTCCTCGTGAGAAGTATGAAGTTTCTTCAAACCCATCTTTGAAGGTTGGGAGGGTTTTCTCATCCACGGAAACATGTTTGAAGAGTATGGAAGTTAGAGAAATATAAGGTAGAAAAGTATTGAAGTAGATAAGTAAAAAGGATGAGTGCTAATACTGAATGCTAAAGTGTAAATACTGATGTGCACTTGGTGATGATGGAGCGCAAGTAACTCTCCCAAGCAAGTGCAACTGTTTTATAGCATTGGTCAAGGCTGTACTCAGGGAGGCAAGTGGGGATAAGGAAGTATACCTTTTGTTTTGTTATTAGAACTGAGTAATACACATATATTTGTTAACGACTTTCAATAACAACATTCAATTTAGTTACCAGTATATATAGGTCAAGGTCACGCATTTCTAAAAAAATATACACACGGTAATGCTATCAACCACAAGCATTAGACCGTGTGTTATATGTTAGTAGATGGGTTGTGTATACATTATGTATTTTAAACAAATGTGTAGCTAGCTACGTATTACTATACTTTAATTGAGTGTTGATAAGATATATTTAAATTACGCTTGCGCAACGGTTGTTTGTTTGTAATTGTGTGTGTGTTATAATGAAAGTCTTGGTGAAATGTTTTGTTAGTAGATGATTATGATATTGGTAAGTATTTTTGGAATAGCGCAGTCTTCTGAACTTACGCTGGGAAATTAGGGTTACTTTTTAGGAAGTTTTTGGATTGCATAGCCGTTCCGAGCTTACGCAAGGATGTGTAGATTTGGAGATCTTACACAATATGGGACGGTTGGATAGGTATATAATACAAATATTGTTTCAAGTCTCATATTGCAGAAATACAGTTTAGTTACTTAGACTTTTGAGAAGAAAATTTCGATGAATTAATACAAAACTGTCTAACAAAGGAATCATAATCTTTAACTCGAGATATTTTCTTTCTTTACTTAAGGTGAGGGTTTTGTCTTTGTTATTTTCGAAATTGAGCAGTCGTTCTGAACTTACTCAAGGAAAATGAGGATTACTTTAGGGAATTTTTGGATTGCATAGCCGTTCCGAGCTTACGCAAGGATGTGTAGATTTGGAGGTCTTACACAATATGGGATGGTTGGATAGGTACATAATTCAAATATTGTTTCAAGTCTCATATTGCAAAAATACAGTTTAGTTACTTAAACTTTGAGTACAAAAATTTCGATGAATTAATACAAACTGTCTAACAAAGAAATCGTAATCTTTAACTCGAGATATTTTCTTTCTTTACTTAAGGTGAGGGTTTGTCTTTGTTGTTTTAAAATTGAGCAGTCGTTCTGAACTTACTCAAGGTAAATGAGGATTATTTTAGGGAATTTTTGGATTGCATAGCCGTTCCGAGCTTACGCAAGGATGTGTAGATTTGGAGGTCTTACACAATATGGGATAGGTACATAATTCAAATATTGTTTCAAGTCTCATATTGCAAAAATACAGTTTAGTTACTTAGACTTTGAGTACAAACATTTCGATGAATTAATACAAACTGTCTAACAAAGAAATCGTAATCTTTTAACTCGAGATATTTTCTTTCTTTACTTAAGGTGAGGGTTTGTCTTTGTTGTTTTAAAATTGAGCAGTCGTTCTGAACTTACTCAAGGAAAATGAGGATTATTTTAGGGAATTTTTGGATTGCATAGCCGTTCCGAGCTTACGCAAGGATGTGTAGATTTGGAGGTCTTACACAATATGGGATAGGTACATAATTCAAATATTGTTTCAAGTCTCATATTGCAAAAATGCAGTTTAGTTACTTAGACTTTGAGTACAAAAATTTCGATGAATTAATACAAACTGTCTAACAAAGAAATCGTAATCTTTTAACTCGAGATATTTTCTTTCTTTACTTAAGGTGAGGGTTTGTCTTTGTTGTTTTAAAATTGAGCAGTCGTTCTGAACTTACTCAAGGAAAATGAGGATTATTTTAGGGAATTTTTGGATTGCATAGCCGTTCCGAGCTTACGCAAGGATGTGTAGATTTGGAGGTCTTACACAATATGGGATAGGTACATAATTCAAATATTGTTTCAAGTCTCATATTGCAAAAATACGGTTTAGTTACTTAGACTTTGAGTAGAAAATTTCGATGAGTAAATACAAACTGTCTAACAATGAAATCGTAATCTTTAACTCGAGATATTTTCTTTCTTTATTTAAGGTGAGGGTTTGTCTTTGTTGTTTTAAAATTGAGAAGTCGTACTCAGAGCAAAATACGATTATTTTTAGGAAATCTTTGGATTGCGTAGCCATTCTGAGCTTACACAATATATGATGGTTTGAAACGTACGTAATACATTGTAAAAAGGATAAATAAGTTACTTAGACTCTGAGGAGAAAGGTTTGATACGTTTAAACAATCTGTATAACCGAAAAATTGTAAGTTTTAAGTTGAGAGAATTTAATTCGTTATTTGATGTTTGGATTTGACCGTGTCACAAAAATAATAAGAAGGAATTGCTGAAGATCTTTCTGAAATAACAACAGTTAGTAAATAGAATACTGTACAAGTATAAACCTAACATGCCCATACACCCAAGATGCTTCTATAAACTTAACATGCCTCTACATCCTAAGCTAAAGAAAAGAAATCTTTCAGAATATGGATCCAATATTTTGAAAGATTTCTTTATCGGGGTATAAGGTTAGCGCTTAAACCATATACCCCTTTAGATTGTGTTCGTCAAGGGAGCCGAGCACAGTCTAAAAGAGCTCCATCTAGAAACCTCTATATATAGGTTTTGAGGAGTGGGGGGTAAAAATAAAAAAGAATGCAGTCGTAGTACTCTTATTTTAAAACATTTGCAGTAGACACTCAGTAAGCGTTGTGCTAAAATTAAAGTTGCACTAGACCTTGAGCGGTGCCTGGGACCGGTCAGGAATCCTGCACTGCAGTACATTAATGCGCTCGACCTTGAGAGAGTCTGATGCCTTCCTTTGTTTAGTGCTCTTCCTGTCTGAACTGTGCAGAAATACTTTTAACCTCCAGACATAAGCCGAGGTCGATATTGCAATAAAGCTTTGTAGAATGTTGAACAGTTTGAGTTCTCAGCTCAGAACAAAGTACAAGTTGTAATGTTAACAATCTTTCTAATATAAGGATTGTACAATATATACTACAGGAGTTTTGGTTTAGAGGTTCAGTACTGGAATTTTTATTTTATTTCGTCTGTTAAAAGATATATATTCGTCACAAGTTAGTATTTCAGTTTATTAGTCGTCCACCTCTTCACTAAGAAGCATCATCGTTACTTAAGAGTTCGACTGAGAAGTGATTTTTTCCCAAACAACTATGAGCAACAGTAATACAATTCAAGATGCTACTGTTTCATCGACAACTGAAATAAACTACGTAAGCCAGTCCACAACAACGGAAAGTCGCCCATCTATTCAACAGTCAACAATTCAGTGTTCTGAAGTTTCTTCAACAATTCCATTTAACGATCGTCAGACAATTTCTATAATAGAACATATGATGAGCGATGAGTTCTTGGGTGATTTTGCAAATACGAACAATTCTTAAGTACAACTCAACACGTTTTATGAAAATGCTAAGTCTTTATTAGTTCAATTACTTCATTCCTTTCCTTTCCTGTCCTTCCAGGGAAAAATGGGGAGAACATTTTTTCTCCCCATTTTTCCCACTTTTAACAGTTTGTCCTTGACCTAATTGTAAGCTACACACACATCCTGACGTCACTCATGACATAACGCATGACGTCACGCTCCCTGACCTACCTTATGACGTCACCCCCCTACGTCACGCCAATTAAAAAGCAATTAATCAATTATGCATGACCTTGAGTGAGCCTGTGAGCCCCCCACCCTCTACTAAAATGGCATAGTAAAACCAACCCGTAGTAACTTAAAAGGCCGAGTATGTAACTTCAAAGTTTCGAGGTGGCACTTTTGAAAATAAATATTGATTTGTTTAACATGGCAATTAACTATTGAGGATATACCGTAATAAATCCATGTAAATATTTTGTAAACAGTGTTTTGCAACTAATTCTTGTGGATATTTCAAGTTAACTCAATTTTTGTTTTCGTCTTAGTCGTGGTGCTTCAATTTGTCTATTGTATTTTTATACAACTAACTTTTTTTCACCGTAGAGTAGTAGAGGAAATACTAAATAAAATGTCAGTATGTTTTTCTTCATTATGCAAAATCTTCTCTATCAATAAGAATAACTTTGATATAACGAAAAAGCATTGAAGAGCATATGCGGTTTGGATCTTATTACTCAGGGCTTCGACTCAGGCCTTCAAAGCTTATAGTCGGAACTTTTTGAAGCAAACATTTTTAGTCAAAGATCTGATTCAATATAATAAAATTACATTTGTATTTGTAAAACCAAGGAGGTTTAGTAAATATATTTAGAAATGTCGTTGATTATTGAAACTACGATATGCTCTATAACCGAGTGGTAATACTACATCAAGTTAACCCTATCGATATCTGCTTTAAAGAACGCACTATTCTGTCTGTGGACATATCATAAAGTTCTGATGTACGATTTTTGTGTGAAACATAGTATGAATACTTACTATTTTAGTTTGTAGTGCACAAAATGTTTGGGCGAATTGTTAATATGAAAGGAAGTTTAACTTGCAATTTTGTGAACAATCAATAAGTTGTACCACTTGATGAATTTCACGGCCGATCCCTTGCCCATTTTGGGCACCGGGCCAGCCTGCCTGTCAGTGGGCTGGGCACTTCACAGACGTTTCATCATTTATACCACTCCATTAAATCGGAACACACCCGTTGATTGGCTTCTCAATACAATACATAACTGTAAATTTCATAAAACCTTTACATCTTTCTTTAAACCACACCACGGTCTTGCAAAAATTGCAATATTGAACTAAGGGTGTGAATAACTATTATTTTGTAGTACAGTTTACTCGTCCTTGCTTGATAAAGAGGTTAGGACGCAATAATAATGTGGTTAGACTAAAAAGTTAGTGAACATGAAACAGATAAGCTTGAATAGTAAAATTGACAAAGTTCTCTAAAATGAGAGAAGAACGTGTTTGTATAAGCGCACTCAAACGTAATCTACATGAAACAAACACCAAAAGAGGATTCAGATCCTACAATAGGTCGATACGTCAAAGGTACTGATGATAAGCAATTGTATTTAGCGCATGAAACG